ACTCTTACTTTACAGCATTTTTTCACACCTGCCTAAAACCTTTGCACAGTACTATATAACACAATCATTTATTGCACCATGAATTAACTGAGAAGGGGGAATGGATTCTCCTTTCTCTTTTTCTGCTCCTTTCATTTATTTCCACAGGAAGTGGCATCTTTATTTAAAGACCCTGCTGGGCACCTCTTGACTCTGTTTTGCCATATAGCACTCCTGCTCAGACCAGGACCTTGGTGGCCAGTTCTGTTGCAATCAAGCTCTTTCTCAGAGGCCCTCATTACTGCTATCTGCCAGAGACCAAATCTGCCCAGCAGCTGGAGTTTGCAACAGGCCCTTCATACTCATCTGATGGACGTTACTACCCAACACAGTACAAGACCATGAGCAGCCTTTAGGCAGGGATCAGCACCATCCAAACTCCAATGTCCGCTTCAACGTCAATTTTTAAATGGCAGGATAAATCAAAGGCTCTTCTTAATTCCTTTGGGGGTGAACTTTCGCCTACAACCAATTCTGACAGCAATTTCTCTTCCATCAAACTGAACATGAATGCTGAAACAAGGGAGAAGAAATGTTTGGGGCAGCTCTACCTACAAGCCTCTCCTCTTCCATGTCATTGAACTGGTCCTTCAGCTGGCAGGGCCGGTTCTCAGCAAACAAGGGCTTTTTTCTGCCCTGTCTTTATACTGTCACAACAGCCCACCCCAGAAGAGTTGGGGCTACAATTCTCAAGTTCTTCAACGTGTTGGGGGAGGGGCAAGCAAGGGAAAGCTGAGTGTAGAGGAGCCACGGGGAAGCCCATCACTACCCAGTAAGCCCTGGGAGAGGCGCAGGTGGGCATAATGTTCTATTCCTTCTCTCTGCTTCTCCCTGGAAAGGTGAAGGACAAATGGCTTACCCTCCCTCCCCTTGTTAGTTGCTCCAACTGAAGTTTGGAAGCTCCTCATTGAGGACTGGCACTAAAATAAGCCAAGCTGTTTCCCTTCATTTAGGAGAAAGTGCAGCTTCTCACATAGCCAATCTAGTGCAGGCCAAGTGAACCCACCTACTTCTAATTTGCACTAACAGGATGTTTTATATAGAATACAGCTAATCAATTAACCCCAGATTAAATATGCATGAAAGGATTTCAGCACTTGATGGCTACTCAGCCATCTCTGCACTTTCCTTAATTTTGCCAGGAGATTCAGCACGACTTCTTTTATTTTTAATGAAGACTCTTTAAGTCCCATTTCCTCCTTGCTGGAAATATTGATCAGTGAGATGTTATTTTTATTGAGCGAGCTTAGCAGCTTTACGATGGCACAAGTTAGTTCCGCTTGGCTCTTTGCCAGGAGCCACGGCGACAATTAAAAGGTGCCCCACAGAAGCTGCTCTGCTGATTGATAGCCTTGCATTGTGCGGGACCATTTTAGATTTCCAGCGGAGCATGTTATGTTTGAATCCCCCATCATTATTATCTTTGTATTTTGTTCTTTTTCTTTCCTTTTTGTGATTAATTAAGAAGCAACAAAAAATTAATAAAAAAAAGTTCAAATCCTCCCATATTTTACAAAAACCTCTCTCCCCTCCGAAACAACAGCCAACTGCACTTTCCAGACTTAACACATCCCAAGGAAGGGCTCCAGGTTAGTTTTCTTGGTAACCCCAGCACCTCGCTGATGTACAAGAGTGACACTGGGCAAAACTCCACAGTTCAGAGTACAAACTTTTTTTCAGAGAAAAATTCCTTGAGGGGGGAGCAGTCCAGTGAGGACTCATACCCAGTGGCCTTTGAAAATACAGTAAACAGAGTGGTGGAGTGTGGAGTGATCCGGATAGAGCACTGAACCAGGATCCACTCGATGCTGCAGCAGGTTAGTTGCAGCTCCCCTTCAGAACTGTTTCCTGCAGTGGACGGGAGGAATTCCACCCGGAGGAACGACAGGCCCCCTGGCCTGGCAGCTTCCAATGCCTGCCCTGCAATTTTGTTTTTGCAAGCTTATAATATGGAAAGAAGCCTACTTCATTAGGCAATGAATAGCAGTTTGCATTTGCAGGGGAATTTAAATATTGAGAACAAAATGCTGCCAGACATTGGGGATACAGGCAGAGGTCTCGGAATGAAAGGGCTGGAGATAAGAGAGAAGCAGAGTGCCTTTTCCCTCACTTTACAGGCTGTAATCTTAAGTGCCTCTCTCTCTCCAGTACCCTCCGCCCTTCTCTTTCAGGTTTCTCTATTGCTGATTAAAGATTAGGGTGGAACAAGCTTTAAAAGAGCTGTGAACTTGGAAGAAAAGTAGACTATGATGCTACACTGTACTGGGTGCAACTTGAAGCCATAGCAAACAGGTTTACCATAGGAAGAAAATCCTATAGTGAGCTGTTAAGGGATCATGAAGCAGAGTTGCCACTTCTAGTGTGATGTGGGAAGGACAGGCTTTCTCCAAAGGGAGCTTAACCCATCCCTCTCTGTACAGGAGAACAGCCAAAGGGAGCAGAAATCTGGCTGGGGAAAATCAGTGTCAAATGGTGCCTTCCCTCTTCAACTAATCTTCTTTGTCTCAGCATCTCCAGGTGTGGAGTATACGTAACAACATAAGCCATGCCCTGCTGGATGGGACCCCCAGTCCATCTAGTCCAGCAGTCTATTGCCACAGTGGCCAGCCAACTGCCCAAGGAAGCCCACTGGTCTCCCTGCCTTCAGAGGCAGTCCCACTGCCATCATAACTAAGAGCCATTGATCTCCAGGACTTCCATGAATTGGTCCAACCCTTTTTTGAAGCCATCCAAACTGGTAGCCAGCACCACATCTCATGGTAACCCCCATCACTCTTATCCAACACAGTTAATATTTGTGGAAATAACAGATCCATCATTTCTGGAATCCAACTGTTCTGACAAAGGGTATGTAAGATAGCTAAATGCAGTTAATACGAACGCTCTCCATATCTTTAATACATTTTTATCACATTAACAATGACAACTGGTCAGCAACTCTTGAAGGCATTCTAGGGGCCATGAAGCCCTGGGGGTTCAGATCATGTATCCCTGAACTAGACTGCATTCTTTCCAACTTCATCCTCTGTATCTCTATCCTAAACTCACAGCCCAAGAGATCTATTCTTAGGACTCTCTTTTTACCTCCCATAACAGCTCCCCAAATTTCTTAGTTTAAGTTTTAATATTATATATTCCAGCTGAAATAAAGAGGCCCTTAGAAACTGTATGCATCACAAAAATTACTGCAGTGATGAAAATTAGATAAAAGTGCTATTCCGAAACTGTTTGTATTTCATTCTGAAAAACAGTGATTGAGATTATATCCCAGAATTCTGGTCCTGATCTAAGACTACAATACTTAAAAAAGAATGAAAATCAAAACAATGGTAAGAACTGCAGCACAGAACCACAAAAGAGAGCTTGCCAGTATCGATCAAAGATGTTTACTACCCACTCCATCCTTGTTCTTCAGCAGCAAGGAACACTTTGGGGATCAGATGGAGAAGGGGAATATATATTCATCCGGAGGCTTCATCCTCCCAGGAGGAAACTGTTGCATGCTAGTTGTGGATGGAGGCAGAGCAAAGGGAGGCATATTTTTCTCTTTGTCTTCTCCCAGGATGGCAGCTGAGAAGCAGCAGACTACGTTTACTAGAGGCACAACTTGTATAGTTACAAGGGTCTTCTGAAATTAAACTGTAGCTCAAGGGTTACAGGTCTCTAATCTCAGATAAAGGGCATTTGCACCTATTGCGACTATGATCAAGAGCTTCTTCTTCCTAAAGGGTGTGTTCCAAGTTGAAAAGGTCTGCAGTTGCAGACACTGCAGCCATCAGAGGACTTTGCTGGGCTCTGGGTTGTGAGTCATAAAATGCTCATCATCACCAAGCTAATACTCCAAAGAGAAGTTACATTTATCCATACACTGCTGGGCAGAGATGGAGAGAGAACTGGCTAACCTGAAGGTCAGAACCCTCCCCGTCACAAGAAATACCTCTTTATTGCCTCAGGGTCCACCTCTACTCAGATATCAGGGGCTAGAGCTGGAAAACATTCAGGATTCCTTGAGATTGCTTAGGATCAGGTTGGAATTAAAGACATATTATGAGAGGGGTAAAGAATCCTGGATTGATCCTAGCTTGCAAAACTGACTGCCAGCAAACATCTCTGATCACAATAACAGTTTCTTCCTGAGTTGGACAGCTGGTCATCTTTGCATAAATCTTCTGCTATGTTGAAGGGAAGCAGAGACCTTTAGGGCCACCTACAGATCCCAAGCCATTTTCTACAGCCCCCAAGCAACAAGTCCAAAAATGTTAGTATGTTCCATTGTGGGGTGGGAAACACACACACACACACACACACACACAAATGCATACTGTAAGCCCCAAGATGTTTTTAAGAATTGATGAAAAAAGAGCCTTCCAAATCCCCTCCCCCCGCCTCCAGCCCAACAAAAGCCCAAGAAAAAAGAACCAGCAAATCCTGGCTTAGCTGATCCACATCACAGCCTTGCCCACTGGGGTCCCCAGCCAGCCAAAGGTTGCCCACCCTTTGTAACACAGAGCAGTCACACCATGGGGGAGCAGATTTCAACCCCGGTTTCTGAATGATGCAGTAGTAATTCTAAACTAGCAGGTGGGTGTTGCCACTAGGACACACACAAATTCTATTTTGCAATAGCCACAGACCACAGGAGAGGGGAAAAGTTTGAAAGATTTACAGAAATGGACACGAGTGATGAAATTTCTGGATTTTGGCCTCGGAGCCCTGAGCGTCAATCGCCCTGGAATATGCAAGAGATCATCCTGGCTCTGTGCATGGCTGTGCCTCATTCAGCCACTCCAAGGCCTTCCATTTTATGGGCCTTACTCGGCAAACCTTCCCTTCTCTCCTTTTGGCTGAGGTATTTGGCAGCTAGATAATCTGCACTTAATTGAAAAGCTTCCCTATTGCCATGTAAAAGCTCCATATTAATCTCATTCTTTGGGAAATGAATGGGCCCCACAGTGCTTTACCTGCCACAGATGCAGGTGTAAGAAGTGTGCCGCATGCCTCCTTGCGTGTAGCAGTAGTGCTGGAACAGGCTGAAAACCAAGAAAGCAGAGAATTAATCATTTGTCCAGAAGCCAACCCAGAAGCTGCAAAGCAGCATCTCAAGAAAAGCAGCCCCAGTTTACCTCCTGCTACTCAGTTTTTAGCATGTCCATCCCCATCTCCTCCATTCAGATTTTTAACTCACAAAAAGCTTGTAAGAAATGTAAAAGAACACACCACCACCACCAGGAAGAAGAAAGCCTCAGACACTTGGGAGGGTGGGTAGATCGATCCCTTCAGTTTTAAGGTTTAAGTGGCTTTGAGCCAATATGAATTCAATCCATCTGAATAATAGCAGAAGCAAAACATACCTAAGTTAGCTAAGTGTTAAAAGTAAAAAACCCAAGAACAGAGAAGGCCAAATACAGAAAGGGCTGTTGCACCACACTTAAGACTGGGGCAGAAACATGAGCATGGATCACTGCTGGATTGGCATCTTCTGGGAAGTCAACTATTATCTTAGCAAGTTGTGCAAACTACAGGATTCATTTTAGGGGTTTTGTTCAGACACTGCATGTAATGTGAACAAGGCTATTGTATTTGGTCAACTCATGATCAGAGTTCAGTAGTTTGCTTGAACCCAGGTAGAAAAGAGTATTTTATCTTTGCAAATCTGAGAAGCAGCGTAATAAAGAAGAAATCTTCCTTCCCACGATGAAAGTCTGTGCATGGAATTAATTGCTACCACATACTGTGGTGGGAAAATAGTATATATTGGTTAAAAAAAATAGATACACATGCCAACAATAACTTTCACAAACATCAAACATTACCGATCAATATACCGGACTTATATTGGATTTTTCCAGTCCAAAATGTAAGCTCATATCCTCACTTAACCATGGAGCTTCCTGTGTGATTTCAGCCAGTCACCATCTCTCACCCAACCTATTGTATCTCCCATGATGGATAAATTAGGAGAGACTGTTGTGAATCACAGAATCGGAAGGGCTGTTGAGGCCATGGAGTGCAACTACGTGGTTCTAAGTTAAAGCATCTTGAATGGATGGCTGTCTACCCTCCATTTAAAGATGTCCAATGAAGGAGACTCCACCATCTCTCTGGGAAATATATTTTGTTATCAAATTAAGGTAGTCTTCAAAACAAAACAAAACAAAACAAAACAAAAAACAAAAGCTGCCTTCCTTAAGGTGAATCGTCATTTTCTGCTATGTGCTCTGGAATGATAAGGGGAGCAGATCTTGATCACCTTCAGCGCAACATATTTGAAAAGCGCAATCCACTCCCCCGAGACTTCTCTTCTCAAGGTACACTCAACACATCCTCTTCCTTTCATTCCTTTTCACTGAGCTTTGTCCCTGATCATCCTTGTTGCCCACTCTGAACCTGTCCCAGTTGGCCTCAATTCTGAAAGTCTGGGCCCAGAAGTTAACAGAGTTTTGAGGTGGGGTCTGGCCAAAGCAAAATAAAGGGTAATGAAACAAGAGCTCTTAGAGAAAAAAGTGGGATATAAATGCACTAAATATATACCCAGCAATTATTCCATCCCAGAACACAACTTCATACAGAGAGCTATGAAGGAAGTTTTCATCCAGGCCCTCAGAAGACCATGGGCAGACAACCTATAGGTCTTCAGACACTGTGGAACTGCAACTCCTAGAATCTCTTACTGGCCATACACAGTGAGCACTGAGTTCCAGCACATTTGGAAAACCATAAGGTCCTTATAGCAGAACAAGTCCTGATCTGCTTGGCTCAGATTTAGCAAGGCTCCTACATTATGTGCTGTCAGACTTGGCCTTGAGAGATTTAGCTGAGCCACCAGCCATCTTCAGTGCAGATGTTGTAGGAATAGAGCCATTACAGGCTACGGTAGTGAAAAAATCCAGAGGTATCTGGTAGCATCTTTTCTGACTAACAAATGTTAATAAAAGGCATATGTTTTTGAGAGCTGCAGCTCACTTGCATCAGATGAAGCTCATGAAGCTATGTCTCTTAATAACATCTGTTACTCAGAAAAGTGCTACAGGTCTCCTCCTGATTCTATGGCAGCCATCTTCAAAGGTTTGCTCTACAGATTTAGAAGAAAGGGAGCAACTAGGCGACTTCAAAAACCTCAACCAGAGCTCCCAATCATGTAAGGAAGCATTGATGTGTGTAGGACTTGGCCTCCCCACATGCATTTCCCAGAATAAATACCTGAAAAGCATCAAGAAGTTATGATAAGTGCCCACCAGCAGGGAAGCTTTCATCCTGGACCATACAACTTTGAACTTTAGAAATGAACAGTTCCTTCCCAAACTTTTTATTTTTGCTTTCATTTAATGCTGGACTCCTGATACACTGAGCTTCTATTTCACATCACTTGGGTTGGCAATTATGTTACTTTTTTTTTTTTTTTAAAGATACTTGAGTGGTAGTGTCTTCCTAAAGCCCTTTAATATCAGGTCATGCTGCCTCGGTCCTAAGACCCCTCTTGCCAGCTGACAATGCAGAGGAACACTGGGACCTTGGCACAAATCAAAGTCACAGTTTTAACCTCAAAAGCCCTTCTGTCACCAGCAGGACCATCTTCTCCCCACTGTTCATTTGGCTTTGGCTCCCTTCTGTCCAGACATGGGGGCAGAGGACCTCAGTGGTGGGTCTGACCCTTTTGAAGTACTGGCCCCCAAGGTCTAATCAGTGCCTAGGTTTGGAGCACTCAGGAAGGGGGAGAAAACTCCTCTTCTACTATGTCTATTGACTGATCATGTGCCATCAAGTTGGTGTCAACTCTTACTAATCACATAGCTAGATTTTCTCCATGACAATCTGTTCCTAACTTGGTCCTTCAGGTCTTCCAGTGGTGCACCCATCGCCACTGTAACTGAGCCCATCCACCTTGCTGTTTTTATGTTTTCAATAATCTCCTATTTTTTCAGTTTTTTGTTTGTTTGGTTTACAGTGGGGCAAAAAAGTATTTAGTCAGCCACCAATTGTGCAAGTTCTCCCACTT